ATACACCATACTATAATTCTTAATCATAAATATATTATTGCAATTCTCCAAAAACAATATGGTATTGGGATTAAAAGCATGACTGTTGGATGAACTTTTCTCACATGCATGCATGTATGCATGCGTATGTATGTATGTATTTATTTATTTATTAAATTTATATAAATTTAATAGGGATGAAATCCAGCAGGTTCTGACAGGTTCTGGAGAACTGGTAATGAAAATTTTGAGTGGTTCAGAGAACCGGTAGTGGAAATTTTGAGTAGTTTGGAGAACCAGCAAATACCACCTTTGGCTGGCCCCAGGGTGGGATGGGAATGGACATTTTGCAATATCCTTCCCCTCGAGTAGGGAAGAAATGGATATTTTGCAATATCCTTCCCTTGGAGTGGGGAGGAAATGGAGATTTTGCAATATCCTTCCCCTGGAATGGGAAGGGAATGGGGATTTTGCAGTATCCTTCTTCTGCCAAGCCCACCAAGCCACACCACAGAACCTGTAGTAAAAAAATTTAGATTTCACCACTGTATAGCATCCCAACTCACAAATAGGTGAGTCCAAATGGTTTATATTATATAACAAAAACCCAAAAGGAAAACCACTCCCCATCCATCATGGCAGCCATAACAATTATAGCTAATCTGATTAGATTAAATCATAACTTCGAATCTCAATATTGGATGTTGGAATAGGGAGAATTTAAGGCAGCATTAAAGATTAGTACTATAATGCATGTAAGATATTATATTTACAATAGTAAAAATAGTTATAAATACTATCAGTAACTAACTTTATATCAAGGGAGGGAGGGAAGGAGGGAGGGAGGGAGGAAGGCTTGTTTTAGACTGCCAAGAAAAAGGAGAATTTCTTTACTATAATAAAATAAGACTAGTGGAAAATACATTTGCTTCTACTGCCACCTCTCTGTTATTGTGTGTATGTAAGAAATTAAAATAAATTGTTACAAGTGAAACATTTTAAGCCTCCCTTGATGTGATGCTTCCACAGACATCTGTCTGCCAGCCTGACTATAATGAATCTAGTACAGTTTCCACTGTACTGAAAGCAAGCTTTTTGCCAGTCTGGAAAGCAGCAGGACTGTGTGTGTGGGAGAGAGGAGTCAACTGAACAAGCTGACACTTTCTGGCAAGTGCAGAAGCAACAGTAGAAACATAAAATGATTTAAAGACATTAATACATATAAGTTATACTTCTCAGAACCTTGATGAAGTATAAAGATATGGGTATAGAAGCAAACTCATATGTTTTCATTCTTTTTTCTGTGCATCTTTATTTTTTTAGAAAAGAGATTGAAAAAATTGAGACTGCAACTTTAAACATGAAAGTTATAAAGTAATATAAAACCTTAAATCAATGAAAAATTTGGTTTTCTCCCATTTATTTAATCTATAAATAAATAATGTGGAAATGAAGGGTCCAATGAAGGCACTTGGAAACATTTGTTTATTAAGCCTATGCTAGTCAACTCTTACGGGCAAATGAATGATGCTATTCTTACCATTGTCCAAATCAGTAATTCATGAATATTATCAATTTATGATTGAATTGTTCGAATCATGCCTAGATGAATCTATCAAGATTCAGTTAATATTTTATTTATTATGAATCAATGAATGTCACAGGAGCTAATTATTATTTTGCATTTTGAGACAACTTTGCAACAGGACAACTATTTTGAAAACAAGTCTTCAACTTTTTCAGGACTCTTTTTATTTTCACATCTGCCAAACTTTGAATCGCCATGTGTCTACTGCACCCAATCTTTACTATATCCACTTCAGTTCCATTGAGACCTTTTTTTTCAGTTTACAACCCTGTAATCTATTAAATTGGGATAGAGTTGGGAGATTGTTCTACCATATAAATTCAGAGTAGGAATATATTCTATACTCTATGCACAGAACAGCTGGTTTTGAATGGTCCATGCTGAGATCTAAATATGTTTCAAGTGTTTCAACCACGTGCAAAATAGTGTTCTTTTTTCCACAATTAAAGTAACCTAATTAATCAATTGAGATTATTTGATTCTATGCATCAAATAAAAAGGGCTGTTTTGCTGCAGGAAGAAATACTTAGCTAGGGATGGGGAGACAGCTGAAGATGTTGGTAGCAGAAAAGGGGGAAAGAAGGAGCTACTGTGATCAGGAAGAGACATGTATATCCCACATAGGAGCATTAGCAGTGGCTAAGGGGATAGAAAGAAGTGAAAGAACTAAAAAGATAGGAGGGAAGTGAGTGAGCTGGTAAATTATGCACTTATTCCCACTATACACTGGGAACTGGTAATGGCTGATCCAAATGGCTCAATAGAAATCCTAGGATGGGTGGGTTCAAAATGAATTAGTTTCTCTCCATTCCATTCACCCCATTAATTCAGATTATGCATTAATATTAATATTTTTATGTGGTATCAACACTGCAAGGTAAACCTTTCCGTGTATTAGCACTGGAGAGATGGAAAGTTCAAAAAGAAGCACAGCATCTCCTAATTCAGTAATTATCACATATGAAACAAAAGTAAAGCACACAAATGTAGAACTTTCTTTTAAAGGCTGCAAACCAAATACTGAAATATATCCTTGGGGGAGAAAGAGAACTCTAAATATTTGAAAAACTATCTGCAGATAAGCTGAAGAGTTAATACTGGGGGTCAGACAGATCAATGACAGAGATATTAGGAAGTCACAGGCTGATAAAAGGATGTTCTATTTTAAAGTCAAACAGTAAAAAAAGTTTGCAGATTTGAGAATAGGGTAGTCTTTAGGCAAGTAACCATATCATTATAAACATACTTGCATTTCAGAAACTGAATGGTACAAAATCCATTCTTTTCCCAAAATGTTTATATGTGTCAGGCTAGTATAACTACTTTAACTGAAGACTAGAGATTTTATTATTTATTTATTTTATTTTTATTTTATATTGGATTTCTATACCGCCCTTCTCCCTAAGGACTCAGGGCGGTGTACAGCCAGATTAAAAAAAACATGCAGAACAAATATTAAAAACAATTAAAAGATATATAAATTTGGCCCAATTAAAACTCATTTACCAATTAAAAACGTTTAAAACATTTAAAAACAGTTAAAAATTTCATCTTAAGCCAGCCCGGCTTGTTTAAATAAATGGGTTTTAAGGGCGCGACGGAAGGCACTGAGGTCTTGGATTCTCCTTATCTCTGGGGGGAGCTGATTCCAGAGGGTAGGTGCCCCCACAGAGAAGGCTCTCCCCCTGGGGGTCACCAGCCTACATTGTCTGGCTGATGGCACCCCGAGGAGGCCCTCTCTGTGGGAGCGCACGGGTCGATGGGAGGTCGTTGGTAGCAGCAGGCGGTCTCGAAGATAGCTAGGCCCTATGCCATGGAGCGCTTTAAAGGTGATAACCAACACCTTGAAGCGCACCCGGAAGACAACTGGGAGCCAGTGCAGCTCGCGCAGGAGCGGTGTTACATGGGAGCGCCATGCTGCTCCCGTCACTACCCGCGCTGCTGCGTTCTGGACCAGCTGGAGCCTCCGGGTGCTCCTCAAGGGGAGCCCCATGTAGAGAGCGTTGCAATAGTCAAGGCGAGAGGTGACGAGGGCATGAGTGACTGTGCACAGGGAATCCCGATCAAGAAAGGGCCGCAACTGGCGAATCAGGCGAACCTGACAAAAGGTCCCCCTGGTTACAGCCGTCAGATGTTCCTCCAAGGACAGCTGCATATCCAGGAGGACTCCCAGATTGCGAGCCCTCTCTGTGGGGGCCAATGACTCGCCCCCAATAGTCAGTGATGGAGTCAACTGACTATATCGGGATGCCGGGAGCCACAGCCACTCAGTCTTGGAAGGGTTGAGCTTGAGCCTGTTCCTCCCCATCCAGACCCGTACAGCCTCCAGGCACTGGGACATCACTTCAAGGGCATCGTTGGGGTGGCCTGGGGTGGAGATGTACAGCTGGGTGTCATCAGCGTACTGGTGGTATCTCACCCCAAAGCCACGGATGATCTCACCCAGCGGCTTCACATAAATGTTGAACAGAAGGGGCGAGAGGACCGATCCCTGCGGCACTCCACAAATGAGAGGCCTCGAGGTCGACCTCTGCCCCCCTGCCAACACAAACTGCGACCGGTCGGAGAGAAAGGAGGAGAACCACCGCAACACGGTGCCTCCCACCCCCAACTCTTCCAGCCGGTGCAGCATGATACCATGGTCGATGGTATCAAAAGCCGCTGAGAGGTCTAACAGGACCAGAACAGAGGAACAACCCCTGTCCCGAGCCCTCCAGAGATCATCAACCAACGCGACCAATGCCGTTTCTGTGCTGTGCCCAGACCTGAAACCCGACTGGAACGGATCTAGATAAGATGTTTCCTCCAGGAATTGCGGAAACTGTCGTGCGACCACACTCTCAACAACCTTCGCCATAAAGCGAAGGTTGGAGACAGGACGATAGTTGGCCAATATTGCCGGATCCAGGGACGGCTTCTTGAGGAGAGGCCTCACCACCGCCTCTATTAATAAACTTATTAACAAAACAATTGGAAGTAGTGTACATCCCACAAGGAAGCAATGCAGAAAAAGGTTCCCCTAATCAAGAAGCCATCCTCTTTATTAGACACTGATAGTATAGTCCACTTCCTTCCCTTTCCATACACATCTTGCATTTTTCTACAAAACAGAATGTAAAGACTCTGCCAATCTAGCTATATGAAGAAATAAGAATCATCAGCATCTTTTTTATGCCCCCAAGAGAGTGGAATTTTAAAAATAATCACTGCAATGTTTTTCACGGGGGAATGAACAGGGAAGATTTAAAGGTCGAACTGAATTTCATAATTCTTATGAAGGCTGAAAATGTCACTTCCTCCTTACAAATGCTGAAAATTTATTAAAATTAACATGATTTTGCTTCCTATGTTATGGAAGTATGGAAATTGAGAAAATCATAAATTATCTCACAGGAATTTGATATCAAATCTCTTTTCCACTTCCCATACTTACCTTTTCATGGTTTTCAATTAGGATCTCCACCACAATGTTCTGAAATTTCAGATCCATAAGACCAGCCACTGTTTCTTCCTGTGGCCTCATTAATGTTGGTCCAAATACAACTCCTAAATTTGCCACAGTCATAAGATTTTTCTTAGCATTATCGGAAACACTTTTCAAAAACAGAAACAAACAAAAAGAACCAGCATTATGAAGATGGCTACTTCAAAGTGAAAAAATAAAATTACATTTCCTTCAACCATTGAACTTTTGCAATAATTCAGGATGAGTTTGTGCATTTTTTCTTTTTTCTTAAAATAATAAACCTCATTTAATAGATGGAAGTACCTAAAATTTCAAGCAATTATTAAAAAAATACTAACAGAAAAACAAAAAAGCTTTTGGGTATTTTTTGTCTCAAAAAAAAGTTGTTAGTAAATACTAACAATTATTTTATATCATTCTGAGGTGAAAGTATTTTTTACTTCAAATAAAAGCAATACTGTTAAAGAAGATGACAGATTACATCCTGATTTGTGTATTCTTATATTGTATGTAGCACCATGTAAAATATATATAAACAACACTATCTAGCTTACAAATTAGCATCCAGATTAGAAATAGGAGCAACATAGTATAGTGGAAACAACATGTCTGGGGTTAAAACTAGAATTTAGTTGCACTGTGGCATATCGGTGAAAATGCTGTCAAAAGAAAAAGATAATGTCTTTTACATGTATCAGGGGATACTGTATGTAACACATGTGCAATTAAGATGAATATATAGGTCATCCTTACTTAATGACCACTGGTTTAGCAACTGTTCAAACTTGCAACAGTACTGAACAAGTGGTTCTCACGACAAGTTCTTGAAGTTCTGGCCATCACAGTGAACCTGCAGTCACATAATCGTGATTTGTGACTTTACTTGCCAGCTTCCAAGTAAAGTCAATAGGGCAGGAAGATGAAAGTTAAGTGAGGTCCCTGCATCAGTACCTGCAATGATATTGCCCAGGGACAGCTCAAATTGCCATGGCTAAGCACCATGGTAATGTGATATCCAGATATCTGCACAAGACTTCCTTTCCCAATTACTGTTTTCATACAAGAACTACGTATCTGACCAGAGTCATGATGAGTTATGTAGAACAATTTCTATGGCCCATGTTAGAATAGAATAGAATAACAGAGTTGGAAGGGACCTTGGAGGTCTTCTAGTCCAACCCCCTGCCCAGGCAGAAAACCCTACACCACTTCAGACAAATGGTTATCCAACATCTTCTTATAAATTTCCAGTGTTAGGGCATTCACAACTTCTGCAGGCAAGTTGTTGTTAAAACACGTTAAGAGACAACCATGGCATATGGAAGACAGTGATTTGGAATTTAAGAACGGCAAACGATAAAGAACTTGAAATAAAGAACCTCAATTAAAAAATAAAACGGAAAGAGAAACATATCCATTGTTGGTAAAAGTTTTTGGATAAATGAAAAGATTTTTCTAATGCTTTTGGTGTGGCTGGGAAAATTCCTATTTCCTTCCTCTCTGGAGTGAGTGGCCCTATTGAGAAATCCTTAGGAAGAGGAAAAGAGAAACAATAGGTGAAGGAGGTTAAATGGGTGAAGTGTAGCAAATAGTATACAATAAGTTCAAGAAGAGAGGCAGGACTGATTGGCAAATCAATTTTAATTGGACAGCTACTATACCAACTGGAGTTTTGCTGAAGTTGCCCTATGGACCTTCTATTCAAAATTATGTTAATTGGGGAAGAATCTGAGAGAGCAAGAAGTGATTATGAAAATGGTTGTGGAATAAATGACAGGAGGCACCGGATTGAATATTATATAAGAACAGAGATAACCAGTGTGATGCCAGTCTGTTTTTCTAACCCACTGGCTATTCCCTGGATATGGTCGCTATGGATATTTGGCCGTGGATTCCAGATCTATTTGTAATAATATGGCTTGAATGAGAAACAGTGAGAAAAACTGTGCATACCAACAAGACACAGTTGAGTGGAAATGAGGACTTTCTTTGTTTGAGATTCACCTGCTAAGATTTTGAGTGGTGCAGCAGTACTAATTCCAATGATAAAGAAATGATGGTGGTGATTCTATGTGAGGTTTACAAAATAAATGATGTTTATTTATGGTGTGCTTCAATTTCCAAATAGTCTGAACAATGTACCGGGACAAAACAAAAGCTTAAAAAAAATTCAACAAAATTCAATCCTAAAACCAATGCTTATGAACAGTGCCATCAGCTGATCCATTAAACAGAAGAAAATGTTTGATGGAACAACAAACTCTGTATTTATTTGCCGAATTTATCACGATAGGGACTTAATGCAGTGTTGGGCTAAAGGTAGTCTACTATCATGGAAAAGACTTGCCACTTAGTTCAGCCACCATGTGCTTTTGTGAAGACAGGGATATTCTCATCAAGGCCTCCCTAGATATGTGGCTTGGATAAACAGGTTCGATTCTCGAAAGATGTTACCAAATATACCTGATACTGCACCATAAAGTACTTTAAAATTAATTAAGCATTCACGTGATACAGATCGCATTTTCATTTTGACAATGGCACATATTGAGTAAAATAGGTGTGGAAGAAAAGTAAAGAAATGCATTTTTTTTAAAAAGTAGAATGTTCACAAGAAGTACAATTTCTGTATGAAAAAGATTCAGAATAAAAAATATGGAATCTGTATGGAAGAGGTAAACAGTGTTTAAGAGAATAAAAACTGTATAAAATAAAATAAAAAAATATTGAATAATGTATATAACCCCCCCAAAAAACCATAATCCCAAAGAATGTAGTCAAAGAAAATACTGGAAATATCTGAACATTGAGCGGAATGTCTGTTGCTTAGTACAGTAAGAGCAGTTTACTCAATGGAATGTAAGCATATATAAGAATAAACAAAATGCTTAGCAAATGGTTCAACGGCGAGCAGAGATTAAGACATGGATGCATGAATTTTTCTTAGTTTGTTAGGCGATAATTATATAAGGAAATGCTTGTGTTAGCATTAGAACAGTGTTGCTTTTGGATGTCAGTATGTGTTGTTTGTGTGCATCTGTATATATTTTTGCATGGAGACCATGTTGTGTATTTTGCTAGTATGTCAATGATTTGCAATGTATATTACATAAATCAGATAATTAGATGCACAGATCTAAAAATTAAAATACTGAAAAAGTTAAGATATATGTTGTAAAACAAGAAGGGGGAGGTCACTAATGCTGAATAAACATAGACTGAACACAAAACTAAATGACCACCATGAAAGATGTACATTGAGGTGGTTGTATGGAAAGGTATACAAAATGAATATTGGTATAAATGGCAATGATTTGTGCTATGTTTCTTTCCTTTCTCTACTGCCTCTTATTATTTTAGCTATTACTTAATATTTTCCTCTGCATTAACAGTGCTGTAAGGGTGGGCATCTATGGTAGGTAGGTAGGTAGGTAGGTAGGTAGGTAGGTAGGTAGGTAGATGCCGACACTTACGGATTAAGCACTGTTAATGCAGAGGATGGATGGATGGGTGGATGGACAGACAGACAGTAGATATAGATTATCTATCTATCTATCTATCTATCTATCTATCTATCTATCTATCTATTAATCTATCTATCCATCCATCCATCCATCTATCCATCCATCCATCTATCATATATCCAATCATCCAGATTAAATTTTCTAAAATAAATATACAGTATACAAGGCAAAAAGCAAACATTGTTTTTGCTGTTTATATGAAATATAAAAATACATCTCTGAACATAACCAGCCTTCAGGAACTGCAAAGGAAAAAATGTAAACATCAAAGTAAGATACAAGAGGCTTACTTTGCTAAGTGCTTCACAACAATTTCAAGCATTTCTTTGTTCTTTTCTGGAAGTTTATGAACCAAGGAGTGGATAAGTTTAACACGGGACTCAGGGCTACCACTTTCTACATAAAAGAAAAAACAATAATTCATAGTTATGCACTTGGCACAATGCATGCTGAAAATTATGTAAAAACATTTTAATTTTCTTTTTTGCTACCTGTACATATTTAAAAACACGAAGTTAAATCCTTTTTTGACACTTTTTTCATCTCCCCAGATGCTAGGAAACTTCAGTACTATATTAAAAGTTATAGAACATTTATCGTAAGAAGGTAACTTTTTATTCTCTTGGCCTTGTTTATGACCTTCCTTAATATATAACCAAGCATCAGTTCTATTTCATGAAAACCACCCTGACTATAATATTTAAACAATTTGCTGAAGTGCAAATTCACTCAGATAATACAGACATGTCACAGCCCTACATGGAGCATAATGGAAATGAAATGATACACAAATATGGTAAAAAATGAGAATTGCTAAACCTCTGTAGATTTGTAAACAATTAGGTGGCAAGAGTCACTTGATAGTGAAACAAGCAATTTTAAAATAAAAAATAAAATAAAATGGTGAATAAATATCTTGAATAAACACACTATCCATTCCAACCATTTATCTTCCATATCATTTAGCATCATTATCTCTTTTACCTTCTTCCTCCAAGCATCTACAAGCTTAAATGCTAAGAGAGTTCTTCAAACCTGTCTTTTATAGATCCTTCTTTTTACAGATCTTTCTTTCTTCATATCCTCCAAATATCGTGCCTCAGGTTTCTTTCTCTTTCAAACCATTGTACATTCCGCTCCCTTCCTTGCTGCTAGCTGTCTCTCTGCTTCTTTAAGTCATAAACCTCTTTAGCCTTCCCCTTTAAAAAGTTATAGTCATAGTGAAACTGGTAATATTCTCCATAAAAGGTGGGCTTAAATATTTTGAGTATTGTAACTGAGCATTTCATGTTAACATCACAATCAGCCAATTACTATCTAGGGCAGTTCCCCCCGCCCCCCGCCCCGGCCATACAGTACATTATGGATTTTCGGATGGGGGGAGGGGACGGGAGAAACTGAATCATAAAGTAATTCTTCTTCTTTAGTTACATATGGTTATGTTGGCAGTCTTTTTGAAAGATTCTTAACACAAAGCTTTTATGTAATTCAACTGCATTACATTCTGGGAGGTTACATCCAGTTTTCTCATTGCCCATTTCATATTATTTTCATAAGATGTTAATACGTGTATATTATATTGCAACATCCTTGTATTTAGCCCAATACACTTAGTTTTGTATATGAATTGGAATATATATATTGTATAATAGTTTGCAGTGAGGTTGTTGTACTGTGTAGAAAGTTTTTAACATTCTGAATACTGTATGCATTTGTAGGAGGAACAAAAACATACAATGATTTTTGGAAAAGATTTTGAGTATTAAGTTACCTAACTGGATTTCCCTGATTTCCAATAATTATTATTTTAAAAGAGATAAAATCTGATAAGTCATATATTTACTAGCAGGAGTGATGAACTCTCCGTGTAAGTCATACGTCATTAAGGGCTCTGGCAGGCTTCTGTTAAGACAAAAACATAGGAATAATTAAGGAGAAAAAAAAAGATCATTTAAATTTACAATCAAGTTTAAATACAAACATTCTAAAGAGGGGGGGAGAACTATATATTTTATCATACTACAATGTATTCATTTTAATTTTGCACTATTTAACTTTCTACTTAGGATGCCTTTTATAAAAACTAGGACAAAAAAAATCATCATTCCATGAAATATTTATGGGTTGTATTCCATATTTCATATGAGGAAAACCTTGGTGTTTCTACCACCAGAGCCAGGAAATATAAAGATATGATTACCATACAGAAAATAATCAATTCTTTAAAGGATGTGTTTTTTTCAAAACATAAAAGTTCGTTATGACTATTTCTGCAGATTGCACTCTGAAAATTACAATCCACTTCTTTTTCTTTCTAAACCAAAGGAATGTTGAAAAGAAAGTTAAGTAAAGGAGCTTAACCATTAACCTATTCATTAGCAGTATAACTCTCCAATCACAGGGCAGTACAGAGCCAAACTGAGGGTGGCAGAATAAGCCAAAAGAAATATTGTGTCAATAAATCAGCTGATGCTATCGAGAAAAATGTGCCCATGCATTGTTTCAGAAAGGGCAACTGTGCAACAGCTTAACATGTTGCTGATCCCTCCAGGCTAAACTTCCTCCCAGGTCATTTCAGGTCATCTGACATGGAACAGATTTTAAAGGATTGTAAAGAATTCCAGAAAATAACATTCTACATGCTTCCTAAAATTGTTTACATTTGAATTTTTCAAAAAACGTGATAACATTCACTATCTATTATAGTTTCAATGAAATTACAGAAATAGGACATATTTAATCATACCTTAAGTATTGTTTCACCGTGCTTGTTATTGTCTTCACTTCCCATTCTGTATTACCTTCCAAATCAACTTCATCACATGTTTTTGCATCTAGAAAATAAACACAAGCAGGTAATCTTGATCAGTTATAATTTGGATTCCAGATACTGTACAGTATAACTGAGCTTATGAAAGCATCAATAAATTAAAGTTCTGTTAATGACGAGAATAAGCCATACACCTGCAAGATTCTATTTCTTATCTTCTATGCATAGAAGTACAAGTACAGAAAAGTACAAGTACAGAAAAGACCATTTCAAAAAATCAAATTTACACCTATTGTCTACTGTGGTCTGTGCATTATGTACAGGTTATTAGCAGGCTTATATTATATTCTGGTATAAAATACTTATATTCTGGGACAAATGGCATTCATTAATACAGAATGAAAAGCAATACTTATATCAAACAAAATAACATTTTATAGTCAAACGTTTAATATATAATGCTGAATGCTCCCTTGTCTGGAAGAGATACAGGACTGCAGAATCAAACTAGTTGGTAGAGTGACTTCTCATGGACTCTACGATTTGGGATGGTTACAATACATTTTGTCAATGAAATTAATATATATTAATTGATAATATTGATACATCTCTTTCATCCATCAGACAAAAGAGAGATTCTTTCCTCAATCCATATCTGTTGTTTATCACAAAATGACTTTCTTGCAGTTATAAAATTCTAAGATTCAGTGGCCATCCACTAGTATCACAATAAAGGACAGATAAAAAGACACTAAGGATGATAAAGCCACTTTAGAGTATAAAAGTAGACTATAGTTGGTCTTTACAAAGTGTCTAACATTTGATACAGCTCTCCTACAACCAATCTAAAAAGTCAGGCCTTGAAACTAGGCAATTAAGTGACTGGAGGTCAGAGTGCAGGTTCTTACTACACTGTGTATTAGATCCCGTGAAACAACTAGACTAGCATAGAGAATCACACCTATCTTAGCCACCAAAAACAATCAAGGTGTTTCTCACTTTGCAAGATTTTTGACAATGATTGGAATTTTCATCCAAGATGTTCTATATAGCTTGCTTCTTTGCTACATAACTTCTATTGTTTACTTTTATGATTTTGTTCCTTTACTATTGTTATTTTTACATGTTTTATTTTTTTCCGTTTTATTGTTGTGAGCTTTCCACAGTAGCCTAACGGTGAGATGGCGGCAAATAAATTTAATAAATAAATACAAAAAATGTTCTTAGCGGCAAGAAGCTCCTGACTCTCATATGCAATGACAGGGAGACTTATGAAGAATGTTACAGTATTTACCTAACAATCAGATCCATTTAATTCTTGTAACTGTAATATTCTTTTTCAGCAGATAAATTATTTAAACATGCACATCCACTTTATGCATTTTCTATCCCTAACTTTATTTTTTCTTTTTCACAAGATTCCTTTCCTCTTGAAAATTTTGATGAGCTTGAGGATCACAATTTAGGGAAGCTAAGATAGGAGATGACATCTTTCTTACAATTGCATACCTATCCAGGTAAGTTTTTGTAAGGCAGAACAATGTGCTGAAACATGATGCAATAGGAGAATAGGATTTGATTTCCTGCCTTTCCATAAAAAACAAGCTTTAAAAATGAATGACCTAAGAAGCATGGATCTCAGACAAAGGCCATAGGATAGTGGCTAATATGCTTTATAAAAGAGAATCCCAAAATAGGCTTCTATTTGATGCAAATGCAACAAAATATCAAAATACAAAGAAATAAATTACATTCTATATGTGTGTAAAAGGATTTGTGTGTGTGTGACTTCAAGTCAGTGTCGACTCCTGGCAATTGCCTGGATTAGTTCCTGGCGTTTTCTTTTTCAGGTGATTTGCCTCCCTCCCAGGACTGAGAGAGATTGGCCAAAGGTCATCCATCTGACTTTGTGCCCAAGGTGAGACTGGAATTCATGGTCTTCCATTTTTATTCCAATGCCTTAAACCACTGTACTAAACTGGAACTGCCATCAGCTATTTAAATTTAAACTGTTTGAATGACTTTCTCCAACAAAACAGGAGATTAAATTGGGTTTTATGAAAATACCAGGTTTCCATAACAGGATTCATGCATTTTGTCTCAATAGCGTTTCCTTTTACTTCCTAATTCTTCCTGAAGCTATAAGAAATATTGGGGTCTATATACCTTTCTTAAATTCAATGTAATTGCCAACAGTAATTAAAGATAGTTAATTAATAATTAGCCAGATCATCTTGACAAATTAATATGGCAAACAAGACACTATACTGTATAATATCTGTCATATTTTCAGCAGAGACAATCAGCATCATACAAGTGGCAAGGATTTGACAGCAGCGCATACAGTAAAATAAAGTACTTTGCCATCCACATAATGTCTGGGGTAATGAGATGAATTCATTTGCTAGTTTCCTCTAGTTTTATCTGCCAAAGAACACTGTGTTATCAGCACAGATGGAGCTACATGCTCCTGGAGAGAAGCCTGTTGCAAACCAGCTTCTCTGAATATCAATGAATCCTGAAGAATCAGACCAGTGATTCTATCAAATGACAGGTTTGGAAGACACAGAACGCTCAAGTAATCCAGGTAGTCTGATCTGATTGGATGTACTGCTGAAAGTTGTGCACAAGAAATCTGAAAATTTTGCAGTGTTGACTATTATGGTGGGGTTAGATAATAGCAGATGAACAGTTTCACTCTAACAATAGGAAGAATGATAGTTATATTTGGGTCAGAATTAAATGAAAATTTGATCAGAGGGATGAGAATCTATAATTTCCTAGAAAAATCACTAGAACTCAAAATAAGGATTAAACACATACAGACATGTACATTTAAATATATTTGCACTGAAATGAGACAAATTTCAATATGTTGAAAATATTCTTCTATCTACTTTAAAAATATCTAAATATACTGTTTTCATTTCATCAAACTTTTGTCCTCTCATAATTAAGGAGAAATCTTGAACAAACTGCAAATAGCTTAAATTTTTCAGATTTTCATATATTTTCAGATTTTTTTTAAACTTTGGTGAATTAAAGGGAATAATGGAAACTTTAAGCTTTGTATTAAATTTTGCCCTCTCAGCATCCATTAAAAAAGCCAATTGCCCCAAATCAAGTTGCTTCCCCATCTTGACATAATTTAAAGAGAAAACTAAAAATTGGGGGAAAAAACATAAAAAAGGAAGTATGCATATATATAAAATGATAGAAGCAGATTTTAAAAATGAGCATACCCATCAACAAATTCAGAAGTCTCTGGACTTTTGAACTCACCCCTACAACTCTATACAGTCCTTGATCATTTATACCTAATAGAGACACAAAAGAATTAATAAAAGTTATTAAACATAAATAAGTCTTATATTTATTATAATCATTTAACCTGGCTCGGGAATGAGCCAGATTTGAAACAATTAATCCACTGATAACTAAAAACTGTGAGAATTAGTTTCTTGGAACAGAAGAATGCATAAGGTTTCCCATAAACATCTTTTTGGCTACTGTGGAGAGAAAATCCTATACAGTGTAGGTTTTTTTAATCTGATTAAGTATAATTGTATATGAGAGCTAAAATAACATGATAATGAAATATTTGAAGAATTCAAATGCATCTATGCATCAATGAAAACACTTTTAGTTCAATATACTGAAGTTAACGTAACGTAGTCAATATTTTTCTCCCTAGTTGTCCATAATTTAAATTATGACAATTTAAGCTCTTTATCACACCTAAGAAAATAAATATTAATCTAGATCATATACCCAAACATAAGGCACTACCTAACCATTGTAAACTTCAATTACATCTTGCCTATAAAGAACATTGTAGTTGCTGTTGTTATTGTGTTATTGTATACAACATGAAATCACAGTTGGCAGTTCTTTAGCTGGTGTTGGCCTTCCTACACATTGAGTTCTTCCCAAGAGTCAAGGATGCCATAATCTATCAATGTAGCATATGTGTAGTCCTAGTGTGGTCTTTGTACGTAAGATCTCCGACCTCCGGTGTTTTTTGCTGTGCACAGAAGACCCTGTTGTTCCGCCAGGCCGGGCTATCAACATAATAATTTTAAATTGGGGTATTTTAAATTTCTGGAGTTTTAAATTGAGCCGAATTTATTTAATAATTTTAAATTTTTAGTTGATGTCTGTCTTGTGTTTTTAAATAGGCTGTACACTGCCCTGAGTCCTTCGGGAGAAGGGCGGTATAGAAATAAAATTATACTTATACTTTGTAAAAGATAGATAGAAATTTTGTCAATGTGCCCAAGATTTTTTGTTATGGAACCCAGTGTGCCAATAACTACTAGGACCACCATGACCGGTTTATGCCATAATCTTTCAACTTCACTTTTTAGATACTGATATTTTGTGATCTTTTGCTCTTCCTTTCTACTATCCCTTGGTATTGCCACAGCAATTATCCATGCTCTCTTCTTTTCAACCAGTATTCTATAAATTGAAGTATTTATATTTTCAACTATTTCAGTTAGTTTTCCAATATGGAACTGCTAATACTAGTGACCTAGGTCTCATAATTTCTAATCATTTTTCTATGACACAATCTTAATAGTTCCAAGAAACTGTTAGAAAATCTAATAAATCTGTATGTTTTCAGGATATGTATTTCCTGAATTGCTAACAGTAAAGACAAAAGAAAATAATAATATGGATCAAGCCACAAGCATATATTATTAAATCTGGTAGTAACATAGGCATTGTTATAAAATCACACTAATTCTGAGGTTTGCAAAGTAATTTAACACTCCTAAAATACAATTATCAGACAATTTAACAAACTTTAATTTCTTGTACATAAAATAGTTTATTTTAATAAGATAATAGAAAAAAATTAAACACTTTTGAGTTATGAAAAGAAATAAAATTATTTAATCATATAAACCTTAATTATTTTTGTTCCTGGAAACATATGAAAACATGTTACTGTGAAGCTCTTTCACTCCTTTCAAAGGCAGAGTTCTTTGCTAGAGATTTGGTTGTGGCCACAGAAATCTTTGCTATATTTAGAAAGATAAAGGTAAGCTTTATATCCAAAGTAGTTCATTTTCCAGGCACATAACCTAAAAAGAACAGAAAACCAACACCACCCTTGGGACAACCTAATGAATCTACATTCTTAATAAATAGGAGGAAGGAGGAATAAGTGCATAGGCTGCACTAAATGGACTTGCCAACCAAATCTTGTACAGCAGGGAGACCACTTACAGCCCAGTTTACATAATGTTTTAGCCTGAAAAATCTTTTCCGAGCAGAACTATTGACAACTGAACACACATTTTCCTGACATTTTAATAAGTATCAGCTTTAAAAGAACAGTTATAATAGCAATAGCATTTAGACTTATATACCGCTTCACAGTGCTTTACAGCCCTCCCTAAGCAGTTTACAGAGTCAGCATATTGCCCCCAACAATCTGGATTCTCATTTTACCAATCTCGGAAGGATGGAAGATGAGTCAATCTTGAGCTGGTCAGAATCAAACTGCTAGCAGTTTGCAGTTTTACCTTAAATACTGCATTCTAATCACTGCGCTACCACGGCTCTTGAAAATAAAACTTCCCCCCAAATCCCAGCTTCTCCCATATTTTCCTCCCACTACTTTGAAGCCTTCAATCTCCTCGGCCAAAGTATAAGTGAAGCCCTGGTCACTCAAAAGACTGACCTTGTCTGTTGTACAGAACTGAACTATAAAAATATTTGCTGGCAACTATAATTTCATCCAACATATAGAATGGTAATGCAAACTAAAAAAAGACAATGAGATTTCCAAACATCTGTTTCTTTGTCTAAAGTAGCTGAAACTTCCTATACTTCATCTCTTCATGATGTTTCTGTAAAATTTATCATTTCTGCCTTTCCCTTTTCTAACAATTCAATGCAGCTAAGACCAACAGCAAAAAGTATTGCTTTGTTTATCCTTCCCAGAATCTAGGCAACTGAAAACAATCAAAATTAAATCCCTGGAGACTCTCCCAGAAAATACAGTATACTGCTGGTTGGGAGACAGTCCAGCGACACAAATGATTAACACATGGTAAAATAGTTTAACCACTGCAGAAATAACAATTTCTTCACTGTATTACCTCCCTTTGCCTTTCCTAGCTCCCCCAAAAAACACCTAATTTTTCAAGTTATTACATGCTAAAGCACCATTTTAGTCACCAAAACCTCCAGCTATTAATACAATTGTCCATTATTTGGTGTTATTCCCACTAACATGTTCTACTTTTAAAGGGACAGAACTGCTACTTCTCTTTAGTCAATGACATCAAAGGTCTCCTTGTTCCTTTATCCTGGGCAAATGTTACAATGTGTCCCCTAGGAGAACAACTGGTACCTTCATATAAATTCTTAATTTCTGGTGATTTCCACTGCAAGTGGAACACAATACCCTGGACATGATCCATTAGTCACCATCACTCAGGTATTGGTAATTGAGACAATATTGTTAATTATTATTTTCCCATCTACTTTGACTGAGAATTTCAATATTCCACAGCTTCAACCATTTGAAAACATAAAGATATGGTAAAAAGATTGAATACTAACAAAAGTCAACTACTGACCTGATGATAGTTAGAATTCTTAGTGGAACTAAGCAATAATAGGTAATAGATAATACATGTTTTTGTCCTTTATTTTAATTTACCTATTTTACTTCACTTTTTAAATATTTTTGTCTAGCTCTTTTGTCTCTGTTCAATTATTTTCTTTTGGGTTATGTATTTTAATCTTTTTAATGAAATAAATGTTTTTAAAAAAAATAAGCAACAATACATTACACATTTTGGTTTATCTCAACATATCATTATTCGTTATTTAAAAAATCTTGTATGCTCCCAAATATTACTGGCATTTCCTAGATGTAACGCTTACATGTGATTATGATTTAGGGGATTACTGCTATCTTGTCCTAAAGCAGCAAAATCAAGCTATAGCCATTCAGATGCTATTAGACTTAACCCAATTTGCCTATCCAGTGGCCAATGGTTGATAAAATACAAGCTATAGTCCTAGAAAGTCACAAAAGCTCAACTCCTATTCTAATAACATATTTTGTAGAATGAATATTTTAATGCTTATGACAGTCCTTAGTAATCTTGTAGAGCTATTTCCAAAAGCAGTTTCGAGATTTTTATTATGTTCCTTTCAATTCCTCACTAGTGCAAATCCTGCTGTAGATCTTCAAGGAATGATAGTTTACTGCTGCCATCTATCTTTCCAGCAATGAATTATTATAACAAGTGCAGAAAACACATGAAAGCCTTTAAAACAAATATATGGGAAGTGGAACTATGAATTCTCAGAAGAGGAATATATTGGAATGCTGTATGCAATTCTTTTGTGTTCATTTCTTAGGTGGACAACTTGACTTCCTTTGTTGTGATACACAGATGGCAACGGTAATAAGATGAAGGTTCTGTTCCAGTTATGTAAAATATCTGTATAAAATATGCATGTAGGCCAGCAACTCTGTGAAGGTCTGCTTTTTTGAAAAGAGAAATGTATGATCTGCAAATAACGTTGCTGAGAGGAATCCAAATTCCTCCCCCTACCCCCAAAACAGTCTGATGGCTTTGGGTTCTTTCTCTGCCAGCGTGCCTGTTCAGAATTGCTGGAGAAAAGAGGATATTACAAGACTTCTTCCTTCCTCCCAAGATTCCCGTGACTTTGAGAGGATTGCTGCAAAAAAAAAGAAACCTAATCTCCCTTCCTCTCGGTGATAATGAAAGAAAGATACATTTGTGCAAGTTGTAGGAATACTGTAAAACATAAAGAGGGTCGTGGAGGCTAGTATGTGGGGATGGAAAAGGTCACTGTTCATGATTTATTTGATGCCTTAAAAAGGCAGCCACAGCAAGAAAACCATCAGGGTTCAGGATTATGCTTATGAAACAGTAAGCTGAGTAGAAGTTGGAATGTTACCACTTTTCCACTCTGTTTCCCCACCCCCCATGAATATTAGAAGATTCATTATAGCCAAGATGAAAGATTATTTCTTTCTGTTCAATCCACGAATCCTTGTCTTTACCTCTTCTTTCGATAGCACTAATGCATTTTCTGAGAATTGTGAATCCAATCTTATCTAGCTGCGCACCTAAGAAGACAAAAAAATTGAAGATATTTCAGATCTAATGAAATATGTCCCGTGTTACAATGAAAGATCACCTATATAAATATTTGTAGCTATAGCTATTCAAACAATAGCTATATCACTTTTACCACTGAAGCAGGGGAAGGGTTTTAAAAGCAATATATATTAACCCAATATATGGCTATTGGGTTTATTATACAAACAACCCCCTCCAATCGTTTCTCCCTCTTATTTTGTGACACTTTGAAAAGAAAGTTGAAAAATGCATAAAAAACAAAATATTTCTTCATTAATGAGCACTTACTCAAAAGGTTATTTTTGCATTTTCATCCTGCTACATTAATAAAATGATCACTTGTTCATTTCCACCAATATTCAGTGGAACCTCAAAATTATGAACTGAAATTTAGATAGTTTTATATTTCAATCCTGAATCAAACTGAGGGGGCATCAGAGCTTTTTCTTAAGGTTTCTACAACCTTAAACTGAATAAAATTGGAATACAATTTTATTTCAAATGGTTTTTTTTATCTCATAGCTAGAACAGGACAGGTAGTCATAAACTTACAACAGTTCATTTAGTGACTTGTCAAAGTTACAAAGACACTTACAAAAAAGTGACTTATGACCATTTTTCACACTTGCAACCATTGCAGCATCCCCATGGTCACATGATCAAAATTTGGATGCTTGACAACTGACTCACATTTATAACGGTTGCAGTGTCCTGAGATCATGTGACACCCCCCCCTTTTACAACCTTCTGACAAGCAAAGTCAATGGGAACGCCAGATTCACTTAACAATAGTGTAACTAACTTAACAAGTGCAGTGATTTATTTAACAAATTTTGCAAGAGAGGTCATTAAATGGGGCAAAATTCACCTAACAAATGTCTCACTTAACAGCAAAAATTTTGGGCTCAATTGTAGTTATAAGCAAGGACTACTTGTACACAAGACAGAATAAAGTTTGTTTATTTGTTTGTTTAACAGATTTATTTAGCCACCCAACTGACATGTAGGTAACTCTGGGTAGCTCACACCTTTTAAAACTTCCAGAATAAAGTTATTTTCAGAAATTATTCTGGAAAATTTAATTTTAATTTAACGATTGTTTTAACTCTAGTACTTACTTCCCTCTTTTTGTGTATTAGCCTTGTTCAAATTGAGAAACACCTAACAAAACAAAACAAAAAGAAAGGTAAACTTCTAACTGCACTCAAGATACAAGCAATTAAACATCTGACTAAGGAAGAACTCCACACTCCATTAAAAGACAAAAATGAGTTGTTTAGAATTGAATCAAAGTACTACTTTGCCCAAGATATTGGGCAAACAAAAATGCCTTCCTTAATCTTGGCATCAGTTATTCTGTCTCAAATAATGAAAACCTTCACTTTCTTTGTAAATTGTTTTCACAAAATTTTTCAACAGTCCAAGTTTTATGTGAAGCAGTGGCAAAAATATCTTTGTCAGATCAACATCGGGCCTGGTGGCTCAGCAGACTAAAAGCATTGTGATTAACATCAGCTGTCTGCAATTACTGTAAGTTCGAATCTCACCAGGCTCAAGGTTGACTCAGCCTTCCATCCTTTCTAAGGTAGGTAAAATGAGGATCCAGTTTGTGGGGGCAATAAGCTGACTTTGTATAAATATACAAAAGTATGAAGGCTATTGCTTAACGCATTGTAAGCCGCCCTGAGACTCCAGAGAAGGGCGGCATATAAATCAAATTTAAAAAAAAGAGAAAACAAGTGGTTCATGGGCCACATTTTTCTGTCCTGGAAACAAACTCTTTCAGAGTGGCCATTTCTTTTTATGCAACTCTCTTGCATGCCTGTCCCATACATATATATAACAATACTTGGTATACAACATTGGTATACATTCCAAGCAGCAGAGCCACTACTTTTAGATATCTATAGATATTCCAGTTATATTTAGCATACTAAATATGCTAAACAATTCCATGTTATTTTTGTATGTTTCTTTCATTAGTGCAACATAGCCATTCAGTATAGGTACTGAAGAATGTACATTGCCATTATGTAAAAACACACTTCTATAAAACAGTACATGTTAGGTTAAATTGCAGGTTATTTTCTTGATTAGGAGTTTAAACTCTGCAAGATACACCCAAAAGCATTCTGGAAGCAAAATCTTTATTGTCTAGTGTTATCTAAACTTCATTTGTAAGCAAATTTACTTTAGGATAATTTTCTTCAAAAATGACAGTAACAAATATATGCTGCGACATTTCTGGAACCTTTTAATTCAGAAAACCCAGTAATATATTTTCACACTTTTAGTCTATGTTCAATTTATACATTATAGCTTTTCCTCTTACAAGGAAAATTCATTTATTCCTAGGTGTATTTTTTGTATATATTTCCATTATGTACGTTTAAAAACACATAAACAGATGCACATGCATAGATGTATATGCACATATACACACATATATATCATGCAACTGATCCATAAAATTCTATGCCAGTATGCATGCATTACAGTGGTGGGTTGCCCCCGGTTCAGACTGGTTCACAAGAACCGGTAGTAAAACTGGCGAGAGGTCCCGCCCATCACCCTGGATGTCATCATCAGCGATCTGCGCATGCGCAGAAGCGCGCGATCCTGTTGTGAACCAGTAGTAAAAGTAAGTAGAACCCACCCCTGATGTATTATAATTTAACAGTGACATGTCTTGTTTTTATTTAAGCATGTAATGCATAAGTTACGTCACACAAACTATACAATTAATAATAAATATAGTCTATGTTGCATTAGTAGTCTTTTCAAGTTTACTTATTTGTAAAAATAATAATTCTCTTACAGTTTCCTTCCCATCTAAGGCTTCAAACCACATGTTCCTGTCCTCTTCTGAGAATGCTTGCAGGGTGAAAGGCATACCAGGTCTGGAAAAGCAGAGTATTTAAATAAAGCAGAGTTATTTAAATCACGACTGAACACTAATTTTCATGTAATGTAAAGTTTTTATCACTATACTCTACAAATGCATCATAACCATCTTTGAAACTATCAGATGTCTTTGAAATTGTAATGTAGTTCATAGTGCTAGGTTAAAAAGAAAAAAAGCACACAAGCCAAAACCTAGCGTCCATGCAAACACGTACATGTGACACACATAGTCACATAGAAACAATGGTTTAGCATAATACATGAAACAAGTCAATATATCTGAACCTGAAATTCTGGATAGCCTTAACTAAAGTTATTAAAGCCAATTCCAAAAGACATTTTAAACCAATAGAGTATATGAGCTCAAAGATTAGGAGGAGCCGTGGTGGTGCAGTGGTTAGAATGCAGAATTTCAAGCTGACTCTGCCCACTGCCAGAAGTTCAATCTTGACCTCAAGGTTGGCTCAGACTTCCATCTTTTTGAGGTCAGTAAAATGAAGAGCCAAATTGTTGAAGGAAATATGCTGACCTCTTAGAAACTGCTGTAAAGCACTATGGAGCAGCATATATGTCTAAGTGCCATTGCTATTATTGAAGCTCATTAAAACAAAGCCACTTTGTATCATTATGTTTAAGTAATACAATGTCTCATTATGCTTATGTGATATCACTCTATTATACAAGAGATGAGACATTTAGACTGAATTAGGCTGTCCCATTCCATAGCATATAATACCTAATTTCAATATGTCTATGAACAAATTGTTCACATCACTTAAATACGTTCTACGTAAAAGATTTATATCTTTTGACTATTTCCCTAATCTATGAAATTTATCAAGACATCAATAGTTATGGACTTTTTCCTGAAACAATGATTAATAGAAAATAGAAAAATCTACAATAGAAAAATTAGAATGATAAATTAATATTATCACATAATTTTTAATAATAAATTTTATTGAAATTTAAAAATATAAATATAGAAATGCAATATAAATTAAGAAAAATACAAAGGATAATTTGAAAGAACAGAAATGAAAATGGATAAGTCAATGACATTGATGTCATTTATATTTAATTTATTTTTATTTTCTCTAATCTCTGTTTCTCTAACTTTGATATATTTTACTTTGTATTTCTTACTTTTTTCCTGCATTTTCTATTTTGAAAAAGAATAGTGAAATGGATATATGATATGTAAACTCAGGAAAAACATTCAGTAAATAAACTGAACCACTAAAAGCATGCAGGGTTTAAAATTAGGATCCCTAATGTGGTATATAAGAATGCCCAATGTATTCATATCGCATCTCTCCTGATAATAATAAATTTGTCCAACACATTTTACTATATCTTAAAAAGTAAAAAAGATGGACATTTTCAGTCCAATGTTTTGAAAATGTTATCTAGCTAGTAAAAAAATGACAAAAATAGAATTCTGTTAGAGGAGATAGCAGATTGTGGTCTGATGCTTGGCAGTCTCCAGAAGATACAGTCATTTTGTACATGTCTCCATTTCAAAATTTCAAACAGATTGGGTATCTTTTAGTTTATTAGAATATTTAATCTACACCCTTTAGTCTACACCCTAAGGCAAAGACTGTGAATTTCCTTTGTTTACCAAATGTGCACATGAATTCCACTCTTCATATTGGTTTCAAGGCTACAGTTTTTAGCATGATTATCAGAAGTATGGAAAACATTCCGATGAAGATGGGCTATTACAGGTATTACAAGGAAAAGAGGACTGAAAGGTATTATATACACTTTACTTATATGAACTGTTGCTACACTGAAAATGGAAAATTCTGATTCTAGATGGCAAAATTAAACATATTGTTTTAGAAGGCCATAGATTTTGGCTGACCATTAGGAGATGTATGATAATAACAGTGTGTGCTGAAGCTATGATAAAAAAATTATGGTCCCTTTCTCACTGCAGATATTCAAACAGAAACTGGTTATTGGTTAGAGGTGCTTTATTTCTAGATTTCTTGCACTTTATGCAGGGCTACTAAATAGATTTTAAGGTGCCTCTCAAATCTACGTTTGTATGATCAGAGGGTCTTATAAGGTCATCCTATAAGAATAGTTGTGTCAAATGAACTGTTTAGGCTGAAATAAATTCACTTAAAAGTAATATTAAGATACATCTGACTGACTTACCTCTCTATTACTTCCATATCAAAACAAAATCGCCTATCTATAGAATCAGTATTCCTTTTAGTACAGTTCTGAAGTAGATAGACTTCCAATTCACCCTGAAATAAATTAATTACATGAATATGATGACAGAGACTATTACTAAAAATGTCAGGAAAAATTTACAGAAGTTTAATTGTTGTTACTGTTTGATTTTTTTAGAATGAAAGCATCCATCAGTATTGTAGAATTTTTGGAACTGAATATAATGCATACCTAGAATTCACTAAAATAATATAATGCATACCTAGAATTCATCAGATAAATTTCTCAGGGGTAACAGAATATTTTACTGAGTAACAGATGAGGTACTTCAGAAAATGTTCCTCATCATCTTGTCTGACCCTCAAGTTAAATTGGCTGACTGACCTTTTAAGATATTGGACACAGAAAAAGAAGAATCCGTCACCAAAACTTCAACAAAAATCACTCTGCCTTGATTGCTACCAATACAATAGCCTATACAATGAGCCACGATGGCACAATGGTTAGAATGCAGTATTGTAGGCTAATTCTAATCACTGCCAGGAGTTTGATCCTCATCGGTTTAAGGTTGACTCATCCTTCCATCCTTCCGATGTCAGTAAAATGAGGACCCAGATTGTTAGGAACAATATGCTGACTCTGTAAACCACTTAGAGTGCTTTAAAGCACTATGAAGTGGTATATAAGTCTAAGTGCTATTGCTATACTGATAATTTCGAAAGGACATGGGGAAGATAAATATTATAAGAAAACTGAAATGCTGCTGATTCTGGAATATTCAAACAGTTATCAAAGAGTTTTTTGAACTTGAAAATCACTAATATGAACAGGTTTTCTGAAAAAAGACATATTGTGCAAAAGTAGTGTATATTTGAATAAATATAATGAATGTAATAAAGAGCTGGTCAATGGAATGTAATTTTTGTGCCTTACTAGAAAGTTACTATTTCAAATAAGCTTTCAAATATCTTTGGTATTAATAAATTACTATGGATAAAATATGGGTATTTTGCTATCTACAAAATTCCATTTCAGAACCCTCCATACTTATTATTTGTAATTCCTAATATTGTATCTAACAATACTTAAAAGAAAATGTCAACTTACATAGAGAAGCAATACAGAACATATTTTATCTCTTTGACTGTTCTTTTGATATGAAATATACTCACACTTTTTCCTCCTGATCTGTGTTCAAAAGGTAACATAGTAAACTTCTTTGACTCCTTCTTATACATGCAATAATGTTTTATCCAACTGGAACCAAATGGTGCAGGTCCTTCACAAAACAGTAATAATTAAAACTTCAAATTGTTAGTTATATACAGATGTTTTTCCATTCAACCTATTTTTCAGATTCTTACATATGAATCCAAAACAAATAAATAAATCCAATGTATGCATTCTGGTTAAAAATAAAATAATAAAATAAAATAATAAAATAAAATAAAATAAAATAAAATAAAATAATAAAATAAAATAAATAATAAAATAAAATAAATAATAAAATAATAAAATAAAATAAAATAAAATATAAAATATAAAATAAAATAAAATAAATAATAGAATCACAACTGCAAAAACAATAGAAAATGTAAAATTATTATTAAGAACATAGGAAATGAAATAGAGCAAATGTAGGGAACTAAAATGAAAGGAGAAAAAAAACCTATATAGGTAGTTCTCATTTAACTACCATAATTAGAACTAGCAACACCATTACTAAATTATGAGGGCATTAAGCGAAACAGAATGTGATTATGATGGACTTATGATATCATTCTTCTGCAGTCGTTAAGCAAATCACACATGGTCAGAAATTGAGACTGTGACTTGTAATTTTATTGTCAGTTCCATAAATTGTGCTTGTTGGAAGTTCACAATTGTGAAGTACATATGGAAAGCACATGACTATGGGGTGCTGCAACAGTTGTAAACACCAACTGGTTGCAAAGCACCCACATTTCAATCACCATATTGAATAACTTTCATCCGGTCTCCAACCTTCGCTTTGTTGCGAAGGTTGTTGAGAGCGTGGTGGCTCGGCAGCTCCCGTCGGTCCTGGAGGAAACAGACTACCTGGATCCATACCAATCAGGTTTCAGGCCGGGGCATAGCATGGAGACGGCATTGGTCACACTAGTGGATGATCTCTGGAGGGCTCGGGAAAGGGGACACTCCTCTGTTCTGGTCCTCTTGGATCTTTCGGCGGCTTTTGATACCATCGACCATGGTATCCTGCTGTGACGATTTGAGGGGTTGGGAGTGGGAGGCATTGTTTTACGGTGGTTCTCCTCCTATCTCTCGGGCCGTACGCAAGCGGTGTTGGCAGGAGGGCAGAGATCGGCTATGAGGACCCTCACTTTTGGGATGCCCCAGGGGTCGGTTCTCTCGCCTCTCCTGTTCAATATCTATATGAAGCCGCTTGGGGAGATCATCCGTGATTTTGGGGTGCAGTATCATCAGTATGCTGATGATACCCAGCTTTTTATATCCACCCCGAACCAGCCTAGTGATGCCCTCGACGTGATGTCCCATTGCCTGGAAGCGGTACGGACCTGGATGGGGAGGAACAGGCTCCGACTCAACCCCGCCAAGACCGAGTGGCTGTGGGTACCGGCATCTGGGTCCAATCGAGATATTCCATCGTTGACCATCGGGGGTGAGGTGTTACCCCCTGTGGATAGGGCCCGCAACTTGGGTGTCCTTCTGGATTCATGGTTGTTTCTAGAAGATCATGTAGCGACCGTGACCAGTGGGGCATTTGCCCAGGTCCGCCTTGTGTGTCAGCTGCGCCCTTACTTGGATCAAGATGCCCTACGCACCGTTACTCATGCGCTGGTCACCTCCTGTCTTGACTACTGCAACGCTCTCTACCTAGGGCTGCCCTTGAAAACCACTTGAAGGCTTCAACTGGTGGAGAATGCGGCCACGCGGGTTGTGATGGGAGTGTCCCGACACATCCATGTTACACCCCTCCTGCGCGACCTGCATTGGCTACCGCTTGCCCTTCGGGTGAGGTTCAAGGTGCTGGTTATCACCTATAAAGCCCTTCATCGCCTAGGCCCGGGATACTTGTTGGACCCCCTGCAGCCAGCAACAATCTTCAATCGCCCGGTGCGTTCCCATAGACAGGGCCTCCTCATGGTGCCGTCGGCCAGACAATGTTGGCTGGCGACCCCCAGGGGGAGAGATTTCTCTGTGGGTGCACCCACCCTTTGGAACCAACTTCCTTTGGAGCTCCGGATGGCCCCTGACCTTCGCTCGTTCCGCCGTGATTTGAAGACCTGGTTGTTTCGTAGCCTGGACTGATGGGGTGGGGGGGGGTTCTAAATAGTTTTAAATTGATTTTAAACTGTTTTAATTTGGACTTTTAATTTCATATTTTTTAATGTGCAATTGTGCATTTTATTGTTGTGAGCCGCCCTGAGTCCATTGGAGATAGGGTGGCATATAAATCGCATTAAACTTAAAACTTAAACATAACCACCGGAATGCTGCAATGATTGTAAATATGAGGAGCAATCATAAAGTTAATTTTTCAGATCTGTCTTAACTTTAACTCACTAACCAGAACAGTCATTAATCAATGCTTGCCAATATGTAATCACAGTTTATTCAATTTCTTTTAGCAGATAAAAAACATTGCTAAACAACCTATATACATGTTTACAAATTCTTACCATGAAACTAAACAAATAACTTACTTTTTTCCTGCACATAAAGATAACCTTCCATTGCAAATTGATTTGCTCTTTTGTGTTTTTTGGGATTTTGCTTGATTTTGTTCATGAGGTCTTCCACTTCTGATCTTGTTCCCTCAAAACGATTTCTTGTCTGCAAGAAAAGATTTTAAAACTTACAGTAGAAAACCATAAACACGTAATTCTAAAAAAAAAAAATCAACACAACTAACAACCTCCTGGTATTTAATCTGTCAATTGTATACAGCTACAAATATATTAAATACCATTTCCCAGATAACAGAAACATGGAAGATTACAACTCTTCCAAGGTTTCACTCTGATTGCTAAACTTACTAACTGGAGATAGTAGGGAATGATTGGCTTTGTGTGTATATATACCTTTTGTCTTAACTGCATTTTTAAAATTTTCATTTATATACCACTTCTGTTATAAACAACTCAATATTATTACTTCCTCCTCCTATTTTTCCCATAATAACAACCTTGTGAGATGAGTTGGGCTGAGAAAAAATGACTGGCCAAAAATCACCCAGCAGACTTTTATGCCTAATGAAGTTCATTCAATGTTGTTGTTTTTTTGACATTTTTTGCCTTTTTTCCTAGGGTTGACAATCAATGCCTAGACCAAAGTCACCCAACTAACTGAACTGAACTGAAGAAGTTCTTGGATGAGAAGTAAAATGCTTTCAAAGGGGAAAAAAAACTCAATAAAGTACAGTTGCCTTTTGGAAAAGCACTTTTGGAACAACCATGACCTAAATGAATGAGAAGCTCCATAGACATTTAAAGTGGATGATATGCATTTTGAAGACATCATTGTATCTAACCCACATATGAAAGCCTATCAAATTAATAACAGTGTTATCAGTACTAATTCCTCCTGAATGTGGAATATTATAAAAATAATTAATAATTTACATTAACTTACGGTAATAAACTTATAATATTCTGTAATGAAGTAAGACAATACAAGACAATACAATATATAAAAGCTGTTTTAATATTTGAGTTTCTAATATAAATATAATAAATAAATAAATAAATAAATAAAGGCTGTTAAGCACTGTAGTTTTGATTTCATACTAAAATATGAACATAAGCATTATAGATAATTGCTTATAACACCAACCTTCCATACAGAAAATTAATTTTCACAGTTTATATTAGAATTTCTAATTAATTTGATACACAATGTCCAATATATTGAATTGTCAACAAAATTATTTATATTTCAACATTATTTATTAAATATTAGTAGAGAAAATAATTTCATTTTATTTTCCACTGTTATACAAAATGTGCAGAAATATTTATTTCGTTACTGCAAAAAGTCTTAACAAGTCCTATATCATGTTAGCCTGTAGATGGCATTACATTTCTATAGTTCTGTAGAAAATCATCATGCATTACAGAAATACAAAATTGCAACAGCAGGGTCAGAATTAAAGATGGACATATCTTATCCTTGAAGGATGGCTTCACTTACATTCTGGATATTGATCTGCAGATCCATTTTGTAATGGTTAAAATCTTTGGCAAGTTCATAACCTTGATGGTAGAATGTGAACATGCCCTGAAAAAACGACAGGACCTAAAACACAGTAAGATTTTTCTTTTCAGAAAAGGAGTAATTTCTTTTTACTTTCTTTTACTTTCCTCTTAGTTTTAAATAAATTAAGTCCTGCCTTTAATGGGACTTATCACATAATTCCACTGTTTAGTCACTAAAAATAACAATCTGTACATTCATAATTCACAGAATACTATAATTAAATGTTCTTCAGTAAAATAATAAAAGTACACACAATGCAAATGTTTACTTATTTCTAAATCTACTTTTACTTGTTTTCTATTTTAAAATTTATTTTCTTTCAGAAATGTTTTAATATTCTACTTACAGGTTCTACAAACTCAAATTTCTTTCTTTCTTGTATCTCTTGCAGTTTACACACATATACAAGTAACAGCTCATAGAAATGTTTTCTGTTTTGCTCTATTTGATTGTCTGCCTGCATAAAAAAACATAGTTTTGCTTTTTTAAGATTCAGATTTTCTATACAGAAATTTATGTCAACTATCACAATCTAACACAGAATCATTTGCATTAATTTAAAAGTAATTATACACACCAAACTTTATGGTCAAAGGATTTCAGGTGGCAAAAGTTAAAATTCTCTAAAATGTTTTACAGCAAATGAGGGGAACTGACAAATTAACAGACAGGAAAGTTATCATAGTTTAGGCTTAAACTATTTTTGTTTTCCTCAATGAATTAAAATGAATAATGGTAAAGCATTGAAACAGTTTATTAAAAGAGGCACAATTTCCACCGAAAACTATCAGACCCCATATTTCATTTTATTAAAATGAATAACCTGCATTCACACACTAAATGTTAATGACTGTTTTTGATTATATAATCAAAAACAGCAAGCTGATATATTTGCATTTTGAATTCCTGAAAATACACATATAATCTAAGCACTGGTGGGTGTCTGGTGCAAGGAACCAGTAACAGAAGTTGAGTTCAAAGCACTAAAATTTTATTTCATGCTACCTATACACAAGAATTTGATCTAGTAACAGTCAAGCCAAATTGGCACTAGATAAGGGTTAATGGAATTCAGGAGGGGGGGACTGAGATCTCTTCTGGGAATGTAATGATTCCAAACTGATGATGCATTTGACCCTGCCACGGACTCTGCCTGGTCATCTTCTACATTAGGGACTTTACTGCAAATTAATTTATTATATATATAAAACAAATAATATTTATTATCAATAGAATTTTTTCTATTGCTCAGATTTCAGCTGTTCATTCAGCTATTCAGAATAGCTCAGATTTCAGCTATTCATTCCCTGCTTCCAACTCAGAATGGAAAAATTGCTGCTAGCAATTTATTTTCAAAAGTATTATTATTGCAAATGCTTACAACAGATAGAGATTTGATAATATAGTATAAATGATACCTCCAATATTTGTACTTCTTTCTTCTTAGCTGACATGTTTAAATGTTTTTCCAGTGAACTGTAGTTTTTTTCTGTTTCTTTATCAAACCTCTTTTTTTCTTCCTAAAACATTTTAAATGTAAAGATAAAGAAATATTATATTATTTATACATTGGTAAATTAGTTGGTTTTTATCATTTTTAACATCACAAATGTATTATTATGAATACATGTTATTGTAAAAATGAAGTTTTGATTTACAGGAATATTGTAGTTTATAACAAAGCTACAATATCCAATTTTGGTATAAGTTGTTTTTGTTCAATAAAATATAAAACACAACAGAGAGGCTATATAAGTCTAAGCGCTATTGCTATGTAAGAATATACAAAATCTTTAGTTAAATATTAACTGAACTTAATGCACATGTATCCATAAAGTACTGAAGAAACTATAATCTCCAACTTTTCCTACTCAAGTTAAATTTTTACCATTTCACTTACAAAACAAAACAGATTAAATGGAAATGAAGCTACAAAAAATAAAGTTATTAACAAACCTTTACTGCTCCAAGTTGTTCTTTTCTGAATTTTTCCAGAGGCTTGATAAGAGTTTCGGTTACACTTAGGGCCTTTTCAAGAAAGAAGAAAATAAATACAAGTATAATTATTATTATTCTACAGTAGGAAGAAAACATTATACTGTGTTTTCCAAATAAAAATATCATGTTTTAAAAATAAATCCACATCAACTTCTATTAATAAACTACCACTGACACAAGAAAAGCAGCATACACGTATATAAATTATTCTATCAGTTGTAAATTTATGTCAGATGGAAATATAACAGACTTCAAATAGTTTTGGCTAGGATATACATTCCTATGTTCTAATAACATTCTTTTTTACAATAATGCATTTAGGGTATATATCAAATTGCATCAGAACATATTTTGCTTAATTAATTATAATGAGGCACAACTGAACCTCTGGAATGACATTTGCTGCATATTCCATATAGTCCCCAGTCTGCTGTTTTTTAGAAGACCCACAAAGATATGACTTTTCATCTAAGTTTTTGTTTCAGGCAGTTGCCATCTTGTATGTCTATCTTTTATGTTTTCTTAATTTATTGTAATTCTTTGTTTGATCATTGTGAGGCACTCAAAGTTATTAAGTTGGATGGCATATAAGTTTAATAAATTATGGTTGGTCACACAGTCAGCCAGATGTTTATAGACTGGATTTGGCATTTTTATCCACCTATCGAGTGCTTTCCAAGAACCTGGGATAGGTAGATGGTGTTAAAAGTATTCCAATACGATGTAAACTGTTCCAAATAAAGCTGCCTTTATTTGAGTGATGGTGACTCTACCAATACTGAAAGTATTCAAGTGGCATCTTCTCTTCTATTCTGCTATGTCCAGGTACTGCAACATCCACTATCCAGATTTTATTGCCTGACATATTGACAATTGTTAAGTTTGGGGGTATGATGATGATGATGATAAAGATTAGGCAAAAACTTTTAATCTCTATGGTTAAATAAATATAGCCTTACTCACACCTAGAGAGCCATATGATTTAATGAATGAAAGTAAACATTCACATTGTTGAAGTAGATTTTATTATTGTCTGAAGGACTCTGTAATACTTGGAAATATATTTAGGGTTTCTGCTTTGAAGATGAACCTTGCCTCAATTTTTTTTTATAACTATGCAGGTCTAAAAAAAAGAGTGTCTCTCAAATTTAGCTCATCTCAGTGACCAACCAAAAACAGCCAAGATTTGGCGGGAGGGAAGGATTACAACATCAAGAAATAATTTGCCACTGCTTTTTCTGAGAATTTGCCCCCTTCCTCCAAAATTCCGTTAGTCTTTAGCCTGATCCTGCTTAGTTTCTTTGGGAAATGCCAAATGCTGAGAGTAAGAAGCAAACATGGATTACTTTTATCTAAATGTGTATAAGATAGCAATTACATTTTATTTATTTATTAATTTAATTTATTAATTTTCCCAGTTGCATGGAATATTACCAAATGAAAACAGAGGGTAAAGGATCCCTCTGTATATTTTATCAAGCAATTAGCAATCTTACAAAAGTACATATTTGCATTGGAAGAGTTCAGCTCAAAACAAAATTTCACATTTCTTCCTTTGTTCCAAGGTGTGTAAATAAATATTTTCACAGGCATTTGGGTGTATATGTTTGTATAAGAGAGACTTTTTTTCAGGAATCACACATCAAGAATTCATGACATGAAACAGCAGCTTTAGACTGACAGAAACTCACAATGAATCACCTGTCATATTACTAAAACTTATTTTGAATGGTGCAGTGAAGTGATACTTTCACTAGTAAGAAAATGCATAATGAACTTCTGATCTGTACTTCCTGTATATTCTCAAAGGAAAAAGGTTGATAGATCAGTCCAACATTCCAAGTTACTGTATTTTTCAGAGTATAAGAGGCTCCTACTATAAGACGCACCTACCTTTTTGGGGGAGGAAAACAAGACATACGCTAGTGCATGGATATGGGAAATAATATGAAATTTTACCAGTTTGGAACTGTTTTATGTTTTTTTCTTTGCATAGATTGGTATTGTAATCAGAATCAGTTAAGTTATTCAGCACGCAATTTGTTAGATGTAAAGCTTTTTCCCCCTCTCTTTATTTTCTTTCAGGTAATATTTTAATTAAGTTAGTGAAATGCTTTTTAAATTCCAGCTAATTGTTGATTCTAGACAAAATTTTACAACAAATTTTACAACAAAAGGACACAAAGAAGAAAATAAGACTCATAAAACATTTACAATAACTCTGCCTCTGCCTCCCAGCAATTTGCCTTGCAAACAGCAAACAGCCTGCTTTAGTTTCATTTTCATTTTCAGCACTGCCTGATTAGCACAAGAAAAAAAATCTGCCTCCCAGCAATTTGCTTGCTTGCAGGAGGCCCGCATGGCAAAAGGCAATGGCAATCCCTGCAGCCTGAAACAGCTGAGGGTTGGGAGGCTGATCCAACCAACAATCAACTGCTTGTGCTAATCAGGCTGTGCTGAAGCTGAAACGGGCTGTTTGCTGCAAGTAGCTAAATTGCTGGAAGGCAGAGGCCAAAGGGTGGGGTCTGCTTCAAAATTTCTTCAAATGGTTTCATTGCTTGGGCAGGAAACTAACTATAGAAACTAACACATGAGAAAGGACTGGCTATGGAATGATCAGAACGGTACTGTAATCTCAGACCTGGAGATGATATTGATTGGGGAATGTCTGGTTAAATTGTGTAAAAACTACTACCAATACTGCTTACTGAGCCCTAAAGCAACCTACATGATCTGGTTCAAAGAATGCATAGATGCTTTCTGGAGGTCTTCAATCTAAGAATTAACCAAGCCAATCTTTCTTGGTTTCTAAATGAAGGCAAGCTTGGCCAAGTTTTGTTATATGTTGAAACTTTTAGAAAAATTAGATTAAATTAAAATATTTTCTTCAAGAGATTCAGATGGATATATAATAAACTTTTGGAGTTTCAAAACTAATGAGAAATATGCAGAACTGACAGATTACATACTGCTATATTTTATCAAATAGAACTCACCATTATTTCTCTTTGTTCTTCTAAATTTTTTAGAAAGTTAGAGAATTCATGAAGAGATGCATCTGTAACAGGAATAAATATCAGACACTATATGCAACAAATAAAATTAGAAAAAAATAAAATTTGAGATTTCATATAGGTAGTCCTCCATTTACAAATATACTGAAGCCTGGATTTTCTGTTATAAGTCATGAGACTCATAAATCAAGGCACTCAAGTGACCTGATTTTATGCCTTCTTTTGCCATGGTTGTTAAGCAAATGCCAAGGTCATTAAGCAAGCCCCACAGCTGTTAAGCAAATACTATGATTGTTAAATATATCCATATATTCCTATGCATGTTTTTCTGCTAGAAATAAATTAAGGATAGAAACTGGCCAAAAAAATTTGTAAACTACGGTCATGTGACCACAGAATACAGGCCCCACAATGCAGTCATGTGACTATAGTGTATGTGTATCTGTGTATAACCATAGGCACTCTGGAACCAGGTCATAAGAAGCTTTTGGGGATCTGTTGAAATTTCAAAAGGCTGCTAAGGGATTGTTTGTTAAATGAGGACTACCTCTTTAAATTTTCTTGTACTGACATACCTATGCATCTTTCATCATCTGTTTCAGCATCACCAATACATTCAAACCTGAAATCTCTCAGTGAACGAGCAAACTTTCTTTGGGCAGCTGAAAGATCTAAAAAGAAAAAAGAAAATGCATAATAGTGCTTTTCAATTCTATAAAAGAATTTAAAAGAATTTAATACATAATTAATGTACAACAAAAAAATCTAAATTTTGACTCATTATTTAAAGGACTTTCTATCGTTTTTGTTTTTGTTTTGTTTGGGCAACTGTATTGATTAAATAAACCTATGGTATTATAATCTTGCATATAAGCGTGAGAGGGACAAAGTGGGTGAAAAAAAAACATTTAGCACTGTTATTTACTATTCAGTAACTTTTGAAGCTCTCTGGATAAAATATATACCTTAATTTATACTTAATATATGTATATTCAATAATTTATAGAAGTTCCATCAGGGCATAAATGGAACAGAAATTTTAATTGTGATAAAGTATGTCATTGTATTATGAATTAGGCAGCAAATCTGATGTAATGGTCAAGGCATCAGGTTGGAAATTGAAAAATCATGAATTCCTGCCTTAGGCCCAAAGCAGCTATATGACTTCTTATAGACCTAGGAAGAAAGCAGTGCACTTCTGAAAAATCTTGCCAAGAAAACTGCAAGGAAACTTTATCAAGGCAATCTCTGAGAATTGGACATGATTGAACGGGAAAAATGCATTAATAAAAATACATTTAAAAAGCCCTTCTATTGACTAAAAGCATCATTTGTGTGATACTATGAATTTAGTTTGGCTATATTAAGAACTTGTTCATTACTTCCTCCATAAATTGTTCTCTGGCTCAGAATCACATGCATTTAACATTCACAATTCATCAGAGGTCAGCTGCTCAGAAGGCACGCATCAAGTGGAAGCTATATGAAGTATCCTTAAGTGTATCCTATACTGTATGTACAAACCACAGCTGTGTTAAATGTCATTTTGAGAATGAATAATTCTTTAAAATGGTGGGGGTGGGGCTAGAGAATGAAGAACAGTAACTTGTCCTGTCAATGTTGGTAGATTTGTCTTGATGGCTCCTTGATCCCAATCAAGGGGCCATCATGATCATTCCACCAACACTGACAAGCCATAAAATGAAAGCAATCACCACTGCCTTCTAATGTTGATAATGTTACCGCATTTCCCCAAAATAAAACAGGGTCTTATATTAATTTTTGCTCCAAAAGGCACGTTAGGGCTTATTTTTCAGTTAGGTCTATTTTCGTAAATGCGTCAAGCTAGCCTGACATTCTTAACTGGGGCTTGTTTTTTGGGTAGGGCTTATATTACGAACACCCTGAAAAATCATCCTAGGGCTTATTTTCAAGTTAGGTCTTATTTTCGGCGAAACATGGTACCTACTTCAGTAACGAAACATATGCAAGAAAACAACCAAGCTCAACGAGCATCAAGGACGTCACAGTTCAACCCTGAGCAACAAATATTCTGCTCTGTCGGTAACACCTTACTATATTTGTAGTACACAATCTCAGTAGATTAGGCACCGAGTCTTATGATACACAGACATATTTATTAAAAGAAATGCAGCCAGTTGTAGCTGCCAGTTGAAAGCTGCAACAACCATATAATGCTTGTGTTGTGGGTGCTGCATTGGTTTATAATAAAGCTTTTGGTGCAAACCAGAAAACCCCAAAAACATTAAGGATTGCCTCTTCCATGGAGAAATAGTCTCTGTTCCACCATCATTGTAAGTGGGAATGTTAAAGACTCCTCATAAATGAGAGGGCAGGTCAGTATTAGAGGTTTTCATTAGCAACCCCCCTCTTTTGGAACACCCTTGAAAAGGTGATCAAATGGAAGTAGGGCTTTAAGGTGTAATTATTGCTGCTACCTAACTGGAGCCATAATTAATGCTTTATGTGCTGTTATTGTTGGGGGTTTTTTGGGGGGGGGGGTTTGCATTTTTTATCCACATTTAAATTATTGAAAATCAATTTGCTTCAGCAGTGTACATTTGTTAGTTTGTTTTTTAATTTATCTAACCATATGTGATGCTCACAGCTAACAAAATTAAAATACAAAATGCAATATAAAAGAAAAACCATGATCATACAACAAAAACTATTAGAACACACTAAAGCAATAAAAACTACTAAAAACATACAAATATAATCTGTGAGAGTACAATCCAATTTACTAACAATATAACCATTTAGCAGGCTCCATGCCACTACCAGATATTTGTAACAAATACAGTTAATAAAAACAAATTGATTTTTATGCAAGGAATCTGCCATTTAATTCTTTTAACACATGCACACACATGTGTGCGCACACACACACGGCATTCTATAATGCTGTCCTCTGAAGTAAGAAGGCAATAGAAATTATCTTGCCTTTTAAATATGGTTGGTTGAACAATTATATATCTATCAAAAAGATGATATGTAGGAAGATATATTAACATATATAAATTGTGCCAAGTATTTTATAGAATTTAAAGAAGGTTTAAATTAGAATTTGAACTTATTGAATCATTTTATCTTGAAAAATCTGATTTTTTTTCCCATAAAAGGCAAGATTCCTGAGATTCTGCCACATTATTATACTACACAGACTTAAATTCCATGCTGCCATGGCAATCACACCCATACAGATTTTTTGCCTACTTAAAACAATTGATGTTTTTGTAATTGGTGTTCATAAAATTCAGATTCCATAAAGGAAACAGTGTAAAATATTTCACATTTTAACATGAATATTTATTTCGTATTAATGAATTTTAAGCCATTGTTGTGAAGTATTATGTAAATATTGAGATGGAACAAGATCTGTAGACAAAAAAGCTAATAATTTCTGAATTGCAACAAGTTATTTAGATAAGTTCAAGAGCTTCACTCAAGGAGAGTCTTCATGTCCTGACGAAATCTTTTCCATTGTTGAATAGCAATTAGATTTGTATTTTTCTTTATAATCAACCATAATCTACTATATAATTTCACATACTGTATTTTTCGGAGTATAAGACGCACTTTTTCCAGCCCTAAAAGTGGGTGAAAATTTCAGTGTGTCTTATACAGCAAATGTTGCGGCAGGGGGAGGAGGCTGGTGCAGTGCTCATCATCTGTTTTAGAATGGGCCATGGCAGCAATGGCAAACGGGCCGCCCCAAATGAGCCACAGCAAACAGGCGGTGGCGAATGGGCCGCAGCAAAGAGGCAGTGGTGAACAGGCCAAGGTGGCAACGAATGGGGTGCAGCAGCGGCGGCGAACAGGGTGTGGCAGCGGCAGTGAACGGAGTAAGATGGTGACGAATGGGGTGCAGCAGTGGCAAACAGGCCATGGCAGTAGCAAAAGGGCTGCGGCAAACAGGCTGCGGTGGTGGCAGTGGTGAATGGGTGGTGGCGAATGGGCCACAGCAGCAGCGAATGGGTGGTGGCGAATAGGCCGCGGGGAATGAGCCATAGTAGTACCAAACGGGCTGCGATGAACGAGCTGTGGCAGTGGGAAACAGGCTGCGGCAAACAGGCTGTGGCGGCAGTGAATGAGTAGTGAATGGGCCACAGCAGTGGCAAATAGGTAGTGGTGAACAGGCCACGGCAGCACCGAACAGGCCGCGGCAAACAGGCCATCGCGGCGATAATGGGTAGTGGCAAATGGGCCACAGCAGTGGCGAACAGGTGGTGGCAAATAGGCCGCGGCGAACAGGCCACGGCAGCACCGAATGGGCTGCGGCAAACTGGCCGAGGCGGTGGCGGCAAACAGGCCACGGCACCGCCAAACGGGTGGTGGCAAATGGGCGAGATAAATTATTTGTTTAGTAGAGTGATGGCGTTCTTGTGTCTAGTTGTTCCTCTTCTCAGCATGCAGACACATTTTAAATGTCATTCTTAGTCAATCTTAACATTATACAGGCACATATAGGCACTTCTTCAGACAATTTGTGGCCCAAAATATATTGGCATTTTTGGTCAAAAGCAGTAACTGAAGTTTAGTCAGATACATATTTGAGGAATGTAGCCTCAATATTAATGTAATCTATGTTAATTCAATTGTCCCAGTCATTATAGGATCAGCCATATTTAATATTAACTCAGCTTCTGAACATCTGCAAAGGTAACCAAACACATTACACTAATACTATCAAGTTTATTAGTTTATATATAACTAAACCAGCTTATGGTTCAACTGTGCACTCATATTAGCCATAGTTAATACAACATAAATTCCACATTTCGACAACACATTTATTTGGTTGTATTCAAACAACAAAAAAATTACAACAAACACATTCGCCTAATTATAGCAGTTGTTATTAAAGGTTTTGCTGGGGTGGGGGGGGGGAAAGCAAAGACAAACCAAATGAGAAATATAGCCCATAATTATATTTATACAAAATAGAGAATAGTTATAGGTGCCAATCATGCAGTAAATACAAGATAGGTCTCCAACAGTAAAGAGTGGAAAATAAACATATGAGACTGTCTTTTGACTCAAAACTGCTGACCTGAGTTTTCCTTCCTTACAGATTGTGCTCATGGGACTTTAACAGAGCAAAGGGCATCAATTGTACTTCAGGAAAACAAGAGAAACACTGAAAGTGCAGGGTGTAGATGTTGGTGAAAGAAAGAAATGAGAGTGCACTGGAAAACCAAACTGCAATCATGCACGAAAGACGTGAAGTGAAAATAGATGGTGGAGTGAGTCAAAAGCCTCAGAAGCTACTACAGCTGAAAAAGTAGTAGCAGACACCTATATCCACAAGAATCTTCCACAGATGCAGCTTAGCTACAGCCAGCTAGAAGCAACTAATTGTATTCTCTCTTATAAACTGATAAGGACTGAAAGTCAGAGGAACAACTCAGAAAAGGGAGCAATTACCAGGCTACTACTAATTCCAGCAGCACTTAATGAAGTGTAAGCGCTGGAAGGAAGGGGGTAATATAGGGATAAGTATAAAGTAAAAGAAACAGATTTCCCAGTCCTTAAAGGTCACAGCTAAGGGCAGAAAAGTGTACATTTTGTATAATAAATCAACTTTGCATAAATATCAAAGGAATGTGTTCAGTGTCCTGGTCTGAGCTATTACTTCTCGTATGGGTCT